CCTGAGCTCCTGCGGGGCAGGTTTACAGTGAGAGGGGAGCATCCTGGAGAGGTAACAAGGTGCTGACAAGAAAAGGTTTGTCTTTCTGGATGGTGTTTCACAGTTCCCCACAGTGTTGCCCCATCTCCATGGGGAGAGGGGGAGCGCCGAGGCAGGGAAGCACTACGGAAGCGAGGGCTGGTCCCGTTCGCAGGAAAGGGTTCAGGAGATGCTGGCTGTTGGTATGAATTCAGCCAGGCTCCGCCATAAGGAAGTGATTGAAGCTTTCACGATCTGTTTAACCAGTGACATATGTTTCCTGCAGGCGTGGCGGCGGGCTGCATGCCGGCGGATGAGATACGGCCGCGCGGGCGCTCGCCCCTGCCTGGCTGTGCCGGCGCGGGGTAGGGCTGGCCCCATCCCCACAGCCGCGTTTGATACGGCCATGGGCCGCCTCTCCCTGTGTGGGAAGGGGAAATTGCTCTCGCGGCAAAGGGAAATAAACATGAGGAGACCAGCCCTGACAAAAAAGCGAGTGTTTCTCTGGTTTGAGGCCCCGCTGCAGGCGAGAGCCACAGGATGCACGGCGGAGCTGGGGATGAAGGAGGGGAAGCTGGAGCTGTGGTGGTGTCTGAGAACTCCCTCTCGCTTACGAGGGGTCTCTCCCTCCGGGTCTCATCTCAGCTTTCATCGCTGAGACATCAGAGGGAACAAGAGGGGGGAGCCATGCATTGCAGAAAAGGTCTAATTGCCCTAGTGAGCCTAGGCAAGGTTCTCCAACAAATTTAGCAGTAGCCAATGTGGATTGAGTGCTTCCCCAGGGAGGGGACTATCACCTGGAAATCACAGCAGCTGAGCACCCAGGTACTGGTACACAGGCTCAGGCTTGCATGGGTCCCTACTCCATCTTTACCTGTAACCCTCAAGCTCTTTCTGCCCCATCCTTCAGCACAGAAGCAATTCATACGGTAAAAGACAGACTTGGGTGCTTTGGGCCAGGAGCATACCAGGGTTGTGAGGTGCTGGAGTGCCCTGAGTATGGGGCTCACCCTTTCTGATGCTGCTACTACAAGTCTGACGGGCTGCAGGTCTGGTGGAATGGTCATGGAGGCTGTGCTAGGGCAGGAAACACCAACAAAGCTCCCCAGAGAGAAAAAGTTTTGTCTCTGAATAGCCTAATGTGTCCCCACAGAGACTGGGAAGGAGGCAATGCCAGTGGGCTGGGTCCACTGGGGATGCCATGAACTGGGCAGGCTGGGGTGGGGATGACAGAGACAGCATACAGCTGTGAAGCCATGAGGAAGAGGATTTGGACGTTATGCAGCAGCTGGAAGCAGAAGTGGTGATGGTCCCCAGGTCTGAGAAGGGTGTTGCTATTGGCTGCAAGCAACTAGGGTCTTCAACCCACAAGGCAGAAGCTAGGGGCAGTGGAAGGAAGACTTCAATGGTAATTGAAGTCACGCAGGAGGCTGAGCTGGGGAAAGGGGAGAGAGCAAAGCACTGAGAGAGACCCATGGCCAAGCGCGCTGCGGGCGACCAGGAGGGGTGCTGGCCTTGCCAGGGGAAGGGGTCCACGGTGGCCAGCAAAGCTGACCCCCACCAGGCCCCCTGCACAGCCTGGAGCCCAGCCAGGCTGGGAACAGAGACAGATTTGTGGTGGAGGTTGTACACTTGGCATGAGAGCACAGGGAAGGAGCAAGGGAGGGAAGGGATAAGCAGGTCTTACAGATGAAAGCCCTGAGAGCTCCACTGTCATTCCACAGGGCCAACATCAGCAACCTGATGGCTGTACCAACAGGAAAAGGGGAGCCAGGAGCAGGTCTTCCCATGCCTTACTAGGGATTTTGGCTCTAAAATGCAGCCTTCTGAATCCTTAGCTCTGGGGCAGAGAGCTCCCTGCACTGCAGCTCCCCAGTTCTCCCATTAGCTCCTACATCGTTCATCAACCAGGCACTAGGGAAGCTGGAAGTCCTGCACTTACCTCTGGATTAACCAGCACTGGAGCAGCAGTAGTCCTTCCTCACTGTGTGCCTTTGCAACAGGGCAAGGTGATTTTATGAAAGGAGTCATCTTTTTTTTTTTTCTTTTTTTTCCTGAAGTTTTTTAAATGAGTGTTTTTATCCGCACGTTGCTGAGTGTTCACGGCATTTATCTGCAAGACTAAAGAGGCTTCTTGGAGTAGTTGGGAACATCTCCCTGCTTGGGTTCAGGACCCTTCAGCTTATGCCCATTAGTTTTAGTGCAGATGCCGAAAGAAACCTTGCTTTTGGAAACTGGGCTGAGTGGATGAGACACCTCGAGCCCATGAGTGTTTTGGTTGGAGCTGTTGTGTCAGGGATCAGCGTTAGCCTCATGAAGTTTCAGGGCTGCAGCCAGCAGCAGCCAGAGCTCTCCCCATCAGGGGGCTTCCCGCTGGCTCACCATATCCGGGGCTAGACGTCCCAGCCCTGCGCTCGTCAGCAGATAGGCACGGTTCACTGTGAGTGGATGTGGTTTGTTCCAGCAGTGCGTTGCCTTCACGTGTTACAAATCAGCGCCGGGTTTCTCAATGGTTTTGGCACCAGGCAGGTGCCGGGAGCACGTTGCAGGGAGGGGAAGGGCAGGGGAGCAGCAGAGGTGGAGCAGGTGGACTGTGCTCTTCCAGCTCTGGAAAAATGCCCCTGCTCCTGGAGGATAACCTTTGCAGGGAGAGCCGGCGTCGCTTTGCCCTGCTGGCAGTGTGGCAGTGAGCTCTGCAGTGCCATAGCTGTGCTCGGGCACACAGAGCGCCACGGCAATGGGCATGCTTTTCCCAAAAGCTGCTCCTTGGCAGGCACTGAGGTAGCCTGCTCTGACAGCCTGGGATGAACAGTGGGTAATCGTTTTCCATGTGACTGCTAGAGATGCCTAAATAATTCATTAATGGTTTGGGGAAATAAAAATATTGTGCAATGAGTAATTGCCTGTGAATGACGCTGTGCATTGCTGCAGCAGGTCACGGGCGGCCGCAGCAGCGTGGCATTAGCAGTGCGGTGTGATGCAGACTGTTTCCTCTGGGCTTTTCATTCCCTTTTTTGTTTCCTTTCCACATGAACTTTCCTGCCTCTAGCTCTGTGCAAACGTGAAGGCCTTTTGTTTCCCAGGGAGCTGGGGTGAAGTGAAGGGACCAGAGCGTGGGCTGGCAGCACAGGATGTGGGGAGCAGGCAGGGGCTCGTAGGAGCACCACAACCATGCTCTGTGTCACATGAGGGAGAAGAAGAGCCATGAGGACAGCAGTGGTTCCTTCCCACAAAACCCCCACTTCCAGCAACGGGACTGATAGTACCATGCCAGGCAGAGCCCCCCCCACAGCCAGTCCCAATGCACTGGTGACAAAGGGTTCCAGGCATCCTGTCCCAGGCCCAGCCATGGGCAGAGTAAAGGCCCAGGTGCTTTATCCTGATAGTGGAACTTCTGTTTCTCAAAAGGGGGTCCGGGAAGCGTCCGCAGCTGCTTGTGCATCCCCAGCTGCTTCTTTGTCTCCAGCATGTTGCTGTGTTGGAGGTAGTGGTCTGAAAGAAGGGCTCTGGCACCCCATGGGCACCCCAGTGCAAAGTACAGGAAGCACCCATGCTTCTCTACATGTCTCTGGGTGATCATCACACCAGGGCTGAACTTTGAGCACGATGGGGAGTTCATGCCCCAGCGTTAAGCTGCAGCTTGTGTGGGCTACGGGAGGAAGGCGATGCTGCATCCCTCCCAGCTCCTGCTTGTCGCTCTATTAAATTTACATTTTAACATGAGAACAGCTGTTTCATGGTACCTGTAACTGTGTCATTTACACAGTCATGCACACAATCCTGCTGAAAACAGCATTACTCACTGCAGCAGCAGTTTGCTGTCTTTGCAGGTACTGAGCGGGTGGCTGGGGAAGGGATGCCAACCCCTGGGTCAGACCACCCTGGCAGCTCATGGCATGGAGTGCTCACAGTCCAGTGCAAGAGCAGGATGAACCCATCTCCATCCTTATGAACTCAGGCCTCCATGCTGCCACTGAGCCCTGAGGATGGGATACTTGATGCACATCAAGGGACAGAGACAACAACTGTTGGCCATGCTCAATAGTGCTTTGTTCTTGGCCCAGGAAGCAGTGAAAATCCTCCTGCTTTGAAGCCTGAGGAGGCCTTTTTATTATATCCAGGGCTTCTGGAAAAAGAAACTGCAAGTGCTTTCCCACAGCATGATAAAAAGCTCTCTTGGCTGAGACCACACCAACTTGTTACATATGAGAACAGTGAATCAGTGTGCATGGGGCTGAGCTCAGTGCTTGTGCAGCCACTGGAAATCACTGGTTTCCAGGGTGTGTGTAACGGGGGTTTGGAAGAGGTGCATGTTGACCTTGCACTCTCCCCAGAGACCTGGCAGCTGTGGTGCCTGGTCCACATGGTGCTTGGTGCACAGTGGCCATGGCGAGCAGCAAGAGGGGTGGAAGGATAGTGGGCACATCCCTCCACGTGCCCCTGCCAGCAGGTAAGTCCCAGGCAGAGCTGAGGCATGCACGCACCCTGGCTTTGTGTTGTAACAGACTATTGTCTAAGAACAATACAAATGATCGGCTAATAGGGAAAGCACCCGGCAGATGAGAGGTGTTTAGGTTGGGTAGGAAGCCAGGCTGTAATTTAAAACAGCCTGGTGTGGGTTGAGAGGTCTGGTGCTGGCTGGGGAGCATGGGGAGAGGCAGGTCACGCAGTGGGAGGGAGCCCATGAACATTCCATGTTTGCATCCAACAGTGGGCAGCTGTGGGCGAGTGCTGGGCTGCATGGTGAGATCCGCTATGCTCGCACACATGGCAGTGATGTTGCTGGGTAGGAAAGCTGACAGGACACCCACAGCTGTGAGGGAGCCCTGGGGTTGCTCTCCATCCCTTCCCATGAGGCTGGGGCACAGGAGGTCCTCCCTAGCACAGCCCCCAGCCCGGCTGGAAAACTCCTAAATGGTGAGGCTGGCCTAATTAGTCTGCTTAATCTTCCCCCATAAATCACTTCTCCTTGCCCCCTGCAGACTATCGGCAGCATCTGAAGTCATTAGTTAATTTAAATCTGGGAGTTCACACGCTGGCTTATCAGGAGCTACCTCTGTTCCCGCTAAGCGCTTGCTCAGTGCCTTCTCTGGCTCCTAGATCCTATCTGCGCCTGCTTTGAAGCGATGATGGGCTGCCGAGCAGGCGAGGCACGCTGCCTGCTTCCCTGCCTGCTGGCAGGTGGGAGGGGAGATGGATCCTGCTTCACCCCCTCCCTGTGCTCCCCTTTTTGAACTGCTCCTCTGACTCATCCATTTCATTTATGTTTCCACCTTCGTTTCACGCATAGCAATTTGCCAGAGCGCTGGAAGGAGAAGGTGGCTCCAGTGATGCTGCTGCAGCTTCCCCAGCTGCAAGGGGAGATGCCCGGGTCCCATGGGTGGGCTGGCAGCCAGGTGAGCGGGGTCCTGGGGAGGGAGGCTGATGGGCACCCAGCCCCTCCCAGCACCCAGCAGGGATGTGGGGAAAGCTGGGACTGCTGCTGGGGGGACATGGGGATGTGGGGTTTCTGCTGGGGATCCTACTAGTGGCCTGTATTGCCCATCGGTCTTCCTGTCATCTCTCCACCCTCATCCTTTTCCTATGCCCTGGGTCTCCAGCCCAGCGTGAACAGGACTCCCCAGGGTTCTGGGGTGGGATGTTTCCTCCTGCACGGGGATCAAGGCTTCATAAAGTGAGCTGTGCTGTGGCCTGGGTGCACACCCATCCTTGCAGCTGTACAACCGAGCTGTGTGGGAAGGCAGCCGTGAGCCGGAGGGTCTCCACAGGGCAGGGTCTCCACCAAAGTTCAGCTCTCGCTGCAAGGAGGGAGCAGGAAAGAGGGGTGGGCAGTGAGAGGGAGGTAGCCAGGATAGGGACACCCAACAGAAGCTCGCAGCATCAGGGTCTGGCAGCTCCTGGCTGTTTCTCCAGGTGGTGCTGGGAGGGGCCAAGTCATCCTGGCTGTCCTGTGCCACTTTTGCACCCCCAGGCAGGCAGCACCGAGGCTGGGGGACTCCTGCCTGGCAAAGCAGATCAGGGAAGCCCCATCCCACTTCAGCACTGCTGGGGTAGCTCCATGAGAGCACAGCAGCCAGACACCCCACACGCACAGCACGTGTGGACCATGGTCCCTGGGAAGGCTCTGGCTGCCTGCATGGGCTGGCATCTCATGCAGGGGTGCGGGCGAAGCCACAGACATGGAAGGAATATGTCCTTCTTCTGCACCCTCTGCTTCTGCTGTTGCCAGGAGGGCAACAGATGACTGCTCTCCCTGGGACATGCCAATCCAGGCTGCACCCAAGGATGCTTTGTGCATCCCTCAGGCACGGTGACTGACAGTCCAAAAAAGCTAGAGCAGCTAGCTTTTTGGGGCTGCATCTTTGGCCAGAGCACCCTGATCAGGCCACTTTAAAGGATCCTGGCTGCTCAGCAGGCAGCCCTGCTGCCAGGAGTGGTTGCAGTAGGGGAGATGGTGCTTTTGCTTCCCAGCTGGCTTTGTGGCTGTCCTCTTCCTCTTGCTTCCCTCATTCCAAAGGGGAGCTGCAGCCGTGTTTGGTTTTGTAGTCCAAGCTCTGGATTTATTGCTTCCAGGTCTCTGTGTGTTTGTTCATTAAATGAAAGACGGCTGGGTGAGCCTACTTTCCACTCCTTTGGCGCCCCTTTTACAGCCCAGAGAGTGTCCTTCAATCATGGGATGATGCCTCCTTTCATGTCTCACAGGCACCCAAACACCCAGCTGGGCCACGAGTGGGGAACGCATCTGTATAGAGTTATGTCCTGTGAGACATGTCCCAGTGCCCCCGGTCAGGTGTTAACCTGTGCCGTGGGTGATGGGGATAATGTGGTTTTGGGCTGAGAGTGAGCAGGGGGCAGGTGCTGGTACCACTCAGTGCACCTCGCAGGGCACAGCATGTGGGGGGCATAGAGCACCAGCCAGGGGGCCGTGGCTGAGCTGGCTCGCATTGTCCCCTGTCCCCAGGCTGATGCTCTATTCTGCTGCGGCTGGAAGACATGAGCTCCCGATTAAAGGATATTTCAACCAGACGGAGGGGCTGCGTCTGCCGGGGAACGTGCAGCAGGAGGGGACGGAGACAGGACGCGTGAGAGACGAGAGGAGAAAGCAATTTACGCTGGAATGTAAATACGGCAGAGGCACGCTGCGCCGCGGGGCGCGTCGCTCCCTCCTGGCCCTGGGACCAGCGTGAGAGCTTGCCTGCGACAGCTCAGACCTCTTCCGTCCTTGCCGCCGCACGGGAGAGCCCACGTATCGCCTGGGCACTGCGCAGAAGTGAGGAGAAGGAGGAGGGTTAGAGCCTGTTGCAGCAAGCCAGTCCCACCGCTGCTGCTCCTGCTTTCCACAGTGAGGGACCACAGGTCGCATGTCCACTGGCAGAGGGATAGAGTCTCAGCCATCCCCTAATAATCCTAAGAATCAATAGCAGTGTCTCTAGGCCCCCTGAATGTGCAGAACAGCTCAGAATTAAGAGAACTTGTTAGCGGGATTAACTCTGAAACCTAGTGACAACACTTTAAGTATCTGTGCTATCTATATCCTTGCTGCTCATTCTAGCAGCCAGCTCTTCCTGATGAGCTTTACTTAAATGCACTAGGTTTGTCCTGTAAGAGCAATCTCTGTGGATAAAGAAGTGAGGTTTAAAGATGTAAATATTCTGTGAGATATACCAATTTAAATGTCTTTTGTTGTTTCTTAGCCCGGCGTCCAGGGATAAGTGTCTAAGGAAGCAAGGAAAGATCCTCTAGATTGTGAGACAGACAAACTTTATTAAAAGAAAAGACCAAATAAAATAAAAATACAATTATTTTATTTTTTTTCCTTAAAAAATACTGAATTTGTAGAAGTTTCCTTCTGCTCACCCTGGGCAGTGTGAGCCCAGCTGGGCAGCAGGTCAGGTTCATCTACTCCTCTCCCATTGCAGAGCATAGCTGGGGGAAGCCATGCCCTCGTTGGCAGATGTCAGAAGCAGCGGCACAGGGTGAACCCCAGCCAGCCCCCTCACTACTCAGGGCAGAGGGTTCATGGCAGGTGACAAAGAGCCTCAAACAAGTCCTTAGAACACCCAGCTCAGGCTCGCAATGGGCTCTTCTTCTGCCCCAAGGCTGGACCCCAATGCAAGGATCTGAGCTCAACGCAGATGTTGAGAGAATTCACACCCCAAGGCAGGTTGGTTTGGGGTTGGTTTTTTTTTAATCTTCCACATGGCTTTTTTTTTTTTTCTTTTTGAGGCAGGAGTAATAACTGCTAAAGATGCATATGGAATTTGAATATGAATGATAAGAACAGCTGTGTATATCTATTATGAATGAACATAAACAGAAATGTATAAACTGAGATTTGGGGGCTTTTGGAAGAATTAGTGCCTTTGTTCCTGGATTTTTTTTCCTATCAAAGTTTGAACCAAAGCCCATTAGCCTGGACTTCCCCACAGCCGACCAAGCCAGGAGCTTCATTTCACCCTGGCTCCGAGCCACACTGAATTCTCCTCAACAGCTCAGTGAGCCCTAATCCTAACAAATTTACCCAGAGAAGTAGGTCTCTTATTACACAGACTAATTTGAATGCTTTCCAAGGTTAATTTCTGCTCCCTCTCTCCCTCTCCAAATGCGCTTGCCCCTCCGGAGCCAGCTCCCCCCTTCCCCAGTCCCCTCAGCTCCCCGTTAGCGCCAGCCCAGGGGGAGCAGCCCCTTCACCACCGCGATGTTTTTTAAACGAGGAAATAATGTGATGTGCGTCGCTGGGTCCGGGCTCTGCCCGGAGGGTTTCTTAATGCCGAGCCACTTCCTTCGCAAATTAATTGCAACTTTGGTTGGGCAAAAATAGCCCTGGAAGCCCCTTTCCCATAGGCTCTTCCGCATGTGATATTAGTTCACAATCTGATTCCTGCGAATCCATTTTCTTCCTTCCCCTCCCCAGCGCGCCGATGACTGCCTGAAAGGGTGCAGGCAGGATGAGCCACAGGCGAGGCAGCTGCACCGGGGCGAGGGGACCATCGCTGCCGCAGGCTCCGGCTCTCGCTTTGCAGCAGACTGTGCAACCAAACCCAGCGTGGGGAAATCGAAACCCGGCTCAGCTGCCAGATCCATTAGGGAAGGAACCGGCCGTGCCTGGTGGATGGCTATCACGGGAGAGGCGGGGGTGCTGCCGGTGTGGTAGGGGCGCACAGCGGGGGATTAAATGGGATAGTTAGGTGGAAAAGGTGTCCAGAGGAGCCAGGAGCCTACCCCACCCACCAGCAGGGCTGGATGTGTTCCCAGGGATGCTTTCTGCTGGCTTTAAGCTGCAAGAAGCAGAGCTTTTCCCTAGCAGCCATACCCGGGGTTTGCAGTGGGTCACTGCAGGCGTGGAACAGCAGCCTGGCAGCCCTGGGACAAGGGTTTCCCACACACTCGAAGGCAGGGTGGTCTGCCCATCTCCCAACTGCCACGGCAGCTGAGGTTCACCCTGCTTGTTCTGCTTTACTCACATTTTATTTCTTTATACTCAGTTAGTGCTTTTATATTTGCTCATCTGAGCACCACAGGCAGCACAGCATCCCATCACCCAGGCAAGGAAGGGGATGGGATGTGCCCTGCCATGCCAGGGTGGTTGAGCTGGGCTGAAGTGCCAGGAGGAGAGAAGAACCAGGAGCAGCACCAGGCTCTTCCAGGTGGTAATGCCACGAAGGTGTCCTCTCTGAAATGCCACTGCAGGTCACGTTTGCTGCCACATCCTGATGCTAGTTAACCTCCTGTTGCAGCTCCCTGTCTTCGTGAAGCCATGGTGCCCAGCGGTCATCTTGCCGAGTGGATACCCATGTTTGATCATTTTGCTCCAGGCGTACGAGCTGCACGTATCAAAGCTGAGCCACATCTTATCTCCTGGCTGTGTTCCTGTCTGTTCCCAACTCGGGATTCCTGGCTGCAGAGTACTCACAGCAGTTTCCCGACACTGTGTCATGGTGGATTTGAGGTGCCAGGCTTTTTCGGGGGGAGGAGCCCTGGGGCAGGTCTCTGCAGTGCAGGTCAGAGGGACACCAAATTTAGGTTGAAGAATGTGGATCACAGCAGCCAGGGCACAATCCCATGAGGTCACAGGGGGCCTGTGCCCCCCTTACCCACTGAGGTCCCATGAGCTGCTCCTGCCCCACTGCATTGGGGAAGGTCCAGGACAAACTCTGTCCTGCAGAGCAGGTGGTGAATGGGCCCAAAGAACAGAGGAAGAAGATGCTTGGTGCAGGATGGGCACTGGCATCTTGTTACCAGCTTTACTGCAACTAAGCGTGGAGGTTGGTGCAAAGAGGCAGGGCATTTGCTTTTAGAAATACCAAACTTACTGAGAGTTGTGGTGGTGAACACTGAAAGAGGAAGTTTTAGAAGGGAAATAAAATGCTAATGCCTCAGGGCTTAAGTTGATCCTCGGTGCAAAAGCAGGAAAGTAATTAGCACTGTAGGTGGGGAAATAACCAGCGTCAAATGGAAGCAGGGAAAGGGCAGGTTGAAGGGGCCACGAAGAGGACGATGGGCTGGAGCTCTTCAGGATGTGACAGAGACCAAGCCTGGAGCCTCCCAGGACGTCTCCAGCACATTGTCTTGCCGGGGGGCTGCGCTTGCAATGCCCCAGCCCTCCTCCTTGCCCCGATCCCACTGACCACAGGCCAGGCAAAAGGCTCCCCTGAGCTCGGCAGGGACCAGTCCAACCCCGTGCAGCTCCAATTATCCCTGGCTGGAGGCCTTCCAGGAATCCCATCCCCAAGCTCTCCCCCGGCCTTGCTTCCCCCACTCCCCCCTCAAAACAATTTGACTTTTATAGTAATAGCTCCTGAACCCTGAATTGGGGCCTTGCCAAGGAAAGCCGCAGAAAACAATGTGATGGGCCTCGGCAGGCGCGGAAACTCCAGCGACCGAGACTAGCCCTAAAATAACTTTTGAGCGATTGTTATTTATTCTGGGAGAAAGTTCATTCATTCACAACTCGGAGGGGAGATAAATGAGGGCAGGCTCGGGCTGCCTGCCCCTGTGCAGTGGCTCCCCACTGCAGCAGCCAGTGCTGCAGTACAGGGTGCAGCCCCATTGTTACTGTCCTGGTGCATGTGCCCATGTTTGTGCCCTGCTGAAAGATCACACTGGTTTTATTTAATTACTTCAGAGCATTTGGGTTCAGCTGAAAGCCCCGGGGTCTGGTGGAGGAGCTTGGCTTCAGGCTGGGTTTTGCATGTGCCGCCAGGCTCAGGGGGCTGCACTCCTGGTGTCTGTGCCTGCATGTGTTCCAGCTTCCCCTGGCACACTGCTTGGTGTGAACACTGTGCTGCATGCCGCTGGCTTGCACTCCTGCCCCGGAGTTTAGCACACGTGAGCCATCGGTGTCTGATGGGCAGGGGGTGGTACAGGCAAGCGCCAGGCAGGGAGCACAGACAGCATCCCACTGCGGGTCCTGGTGAACATCAGTGTATGCACAGCAGCTGCCAGCCCGCATCAGCCAGGCAAGTGGTGCCACCTCAGTAACATGGTGCTGTTTCCACAGCCCTGAGCTGCTGCAGCTTCCCTGCAATTCACCAGGGCTGAGCCAGAGCTCTGGCAGTGTCAGAGGAGCCTTGGGCAGGCAGGGAAACCACGGCTGCCCTCTGAATCAGAGAAAGTGCTCTTCAGAGGAGGCAGGCAGCCAGGAAGGCAGTCATTGGCACTGCCATGCATCTGCTTGTGCTGATGTGTTTTATGGCACCCGTCCGTCACTACAGTCTGGGCACTGGTCAGTATTTGAAGTGCAGGCATGGCTCTGCCAGCCAGGGTGACAGGGGTGACAGAGACTTCACAGGACAGCTCTGCAGGCAGGTGGAACAGGGATGGACAGTAACCTGACTGGGACCAATAGGCATTGACAGCTCTGTGTGCAGATCATCTCCAGGAAGGATGCACAGCCAAGAGCACCTGCCCACATGCATCTCCAGGGCCAGGCTTGTTCCTTCTCCACCATGGCACCAGCTGGCTCAGCCACAATGTCACAGTGGCACAGAACAGCATCTGCCCTGCACACCGGCTGGTGGAGGGTGCACTGAAAAACCCTGCCATATCCGTTTGCTTGCCTGCGCCACCCCTCTTCTGTTGCTGCCTGTAGTCCAGGAGACCTTGCTGAGGATCTCCTAACGTTTCTGGTTTTGGATTTGTCTCTGATGTGTGGACACAGCGGAACTGGGGCCCTGGAGCTGCGAAAGAGACCCAGCCAGGTGCTGCCAGGAAGGTGTTTCAGTCCTGTCTCTTAACTGGGAGAGGAGAGAGCAAGTTTGTGTGTAGTAGCACAGCCTGGTCCTGGATAAACCATCACTCAGTCACCCTTGTGGCACAGAACATGGGGAGAGCAGGGTCAAAGCCAGGTCACACATGGGGCAGAAGCAGTGCAGTCAGCCCACACAGCTTCCTTCACGGCGCAGTGCCCGTGCTGGTGGGACTGGCCCTGCTGGGCCACATCCCTCATCCTGCCAGGCAGGAAAGCCTTCGGCCCGGTGCTCCTCAACTCTCTGTATCCCCTGCCCTCTGCCCCGCTACCGCCATGGGCAGCCCGTGCTTGCCAGCTGCCTCTCAGCCTCACCACTGAGCAGCTCGTGCTCTTGGCAGGCAGTGCAAGTCTTACCGGCCGTTATTACAATGATTATTTTTGTTTTCCCAGCTCGAAAGGGCTCTCCTCTCGCCTCGATCCTGTCTGGCCCGAAGCCAGGTGGAACTCGGCTCAGGGTGAGAGGAGCAGGGAACATCCTGCGCTGTCAGGGCGGGGGACCACGGTGGGATGCACAAGATGGGGCGGAGGAGAGAGGAGATCCTGCCCCTCCCCTTAAAGGTTCAGATTGGAAATCGACACCCGCTTGGTTAATTCATTAGCTTCAATTAGCAGCTCTGAAGCTTAGATCGGTTAATGGGCTCCCTCCTGCTGGTAAATCTCCAGGAGGAGCTCAGCAAGGTTATCTGCACCAGCAGTGGTGAGGAGAGGATGGGGATGACAGCAATTGAATTAGGAAGCTGTTAAATGAAGAAGCCAAACTGAGCGAGAGCAGGGATGATGCAGGATGGCCACACCACTAAAACCCGGGGCAGAGCCACACAATGTGGCTGTGCCTGGCTGGGTCAGAGCTGGGGGATGGAGCAGCAGCTCCCCGTGGACACCAGCTTAGGCTGGGGTTTGGTATTGTGTTTCCAGCTCTGTCCTTTGTAGATCCCTTCACTAGCACCACCTTCTCCCTATGTGGGCTGCATCTTCTCTCAAGCGGGGGTTCCTCCACAGCCTGGGTTTGGTTGTTGATTAAATTGGCTCAGAAGTAACCTATTTGTGATGATGATGTGATGTAGAGACCTTCAGTGTTTCCATTAAAGTATACATGTGTATATTTGTTTTCTGTGGTTATGAATGTAATTCCACAATCCACTTAGGAGCTGGTAATTTTCTGGCTGAGGTGGGAAGTTGCTGACATCTTGTGATACATGACAAGATTGATTGTATTTGCTTACCCTTTAACCTAATAAAGAAAAATAACATTCTGTAGTCTGGATAATTCTCCATAAATTTGGACATTGAACTAGAAGTGCAGGCACTGAACCATACCATCATGGGGGAGGAAGTCCCTCTCCCCATGTTCTTTCCAGCTCTATGCGAGGGGGACCTATGTGGAAGCATCATCCCCAAGAGCACCCAGCATTTCTGGGGTGGCCTCAGCACCCTGTGGGTCCTGCTCACTGGGAAAGCATTAACCAATTAGCTACTAATCATGTTATCACAGCACATCTGAGCAGCTGCCAGGGCAGCAGCAGGCCAAAGCAAACATGGCCCAGCGCCCTGAGGACAGGGAGCACATTAGAGGCAGCTGCACCTACTCTCCGGTTTCCAGGTCTCCCTTCTCTCACTGCAGCAGTCCAGTTGGCCTCCAGAAAGAAGGAGGCTTTGCAGGGCAAACCTGGCCAGCACTGCAACCAAGAGGAGGGATGCTGCAGCAGAGAGGCTGCCCTGGCTGAGAGTTGGGCTGGTGCTCTGACACTGGTGACTGTCTGACCTTGGGCATGCTGCATGCAGAGTGGGCACTGCGCCTGGTGCCCTCCTTTACTGTGAGACCGGATGCAAGAGGTGAAGGAGTGGGCTGAGCAGCAGGCAGCATCCACAGGGACAGAGCCAGCATTGTGGACAGGGTCTTTGCCGTCCCACAGCACTGTCTCCTCCATCCCCCCATCATGGGGACAGCCCTCTCTGGGAGGAAGGGATTAGGCAGGGCAAGCAATGTCACTACAATACAGTTCTCAATTACTTTCTCACCCTCTGGGGAAACACTGTGCCTGAGTTGCTCTTTCTCAGTTACTGAGCCCTGCTCCACACTCGGCTTTTCTGACCTTCTCCAGAGCACCACGCAGAGCTAACGGGAGGAGCACATGTCCCCAGGGCAACGGCATGAGAGCGTCACATTGCCGCAGGCAGTGGACCCTGCATGCAGCAGCGTGCCCCTGACCTGGGCATGCAGGGATGAAGGGGTTGGAGCTTGGGGAAGGGTTTTGCCAACTCGGTGGCAGGATGCTGCTCACCTGCCTGGCATGGTGGTTTGCCTGCCAGCTGCCCACATCTGGGAATTGCCTTTGCTTTTGCCAGTATGCTTAAAAATAACCCACTAGCTTGTCAAGGTTATAAATGGGGAGAGAACAAATTGCTTTCTGAGTTGATTAAACTGCTCGGTGTGGCTGCGCACACAGCACTCACCGTACGGCTGGGACGAGCCCGAGGAGCCTGGCACGTTAATTTGCACTCAGCAGTTCCTGTGCTAATAAGGCCTTGATGAGCTGCCTCCTCTTATGCCGGCCCCTCTGAGCAATGCTTGGCTGCGCCTCGAGGCCTTCGGGGCACTTTGTCTTTTCAAAATGGCTTTTTTTGCCTTTCCATTGCTTTTGAGCAATGCCAT